ATTTGAGTAAATTTACTCATGTGGTAGTGCCACTATGGGCATGGTTAGAGTTACTCACATGCATAAATATTTGCAGAATTATGTCCTTATGCTTTTAAGGATAAATGGATTACTTTTCAGAAGCATCCATAAATGCCAGTGAGGTCAGCAGGAGCTGCAGATGCTCATCACCTTTGGAAAATCAAGTCACTTTTCTTTAGGTGCCTAGCTTAGAATATTTCTGCCCCCATGTCCCTAGACGAAGCTCTGGTCAGAAAGGAATGGTCTTATTTGGGATGGTCTTTTTTCCATAGTTTTCCCATAATATTAATAATATTTTTCCCACAACAACCCAGAATAGTTCAATTTAATTTCCACACACACACACACCACACACACAGCCTTGGAATCAACATAACTTGAGCTGGAAAACATGCAACCTCCCTCAGCCTTTATTTACAATATCACAAACCACAAGGGAAGGATCTGGCCAAGTTTCGCAGCTGGAATGGGAACGGCAGAAGAGAGCATGCTCTAGTTTCTGCAACCGTGATATTTTACATATTGAGGAGGGGATGATATGAATCTGTGGAAAGGGTGGAATCAGAGGCCCCAATCCTGTAATCAGATCCCCACAGGTATATCTTTATGACCACTGAGTCCCACTGAAATCAGTAGGGCTTTGTATGTGCAGATCTGATTGCAAAACTGGGGCCTGACATGCTTTGGGGGGGGGGGGTTTGTTGGCTTTGTTATTGTTATCTGTAAAAGAGAGGTGCAGACGTCTGTTTTCATGTTCTTAAATGTTTGATTGTAATGAGTTCTATAATTACCTCACCCTCCAAACACAAGTATGACAAAGGTGCAAAAAAAAATAAAAATAAATAAAAATACAACCACCCCTAAACAAAATTCACAATAGAACCTCAGCCAAAAATTAACAAATGAGAGAGAGAGAGACACACACACACACAGATGAAGAAAGTTCACATCTATAGAGAGTTATACCAGTAACAGGAAACTACTGTCAGTTGATGTTGCGGTTAGAACCACACCAGTGTCGTCAGCTCTTTCCTCCCCGTTACACTGGGTGTCCAAACAGCTCATCACGCCTAGTGCTTTTACTGCGACAATGAGAAGGGGTGAAAAGTTAAACACACCCTTATTTCCACTAGAGATTTAAAAACATCAGTGCAGGCTGAAGTCATAGTCTTTTAAAGAGAGGCACCCTGTACCTGATTGCTCACCTCTGCTGAGAACTAATACCATACCAATTCAAGTTGCTCATAATCCACTTCCCTTACCACAAGTTATCCACACTCGCGTCTCTCCTATTACCGACTCCTTTCTCCTCTCCCATCACTGTAACTCAACAGCTGCCGTGCTAACACGCACCACCTTTAAACGCTTTTAAAATTGCAGTTCTCTCCAATCTCGCTCAGCTGCATCTCCACACAGAGTCCGGTTCTCTGTCTTTTGGAGAGTGGCTGTCGCCCAGCTCTCTGAAGTGTTATCACCTTGATCTAACTCTCCTCGTAAAATGGCTTGCGATACTTCATATAAAAGATTCTACATAAAAATAGATTGTGTTGTATTGATCCGTTCATCCGCCTTTGGAGTCATCTTCTAAAGCGGCCTACAATTCTCATGCTATGGGTGATGCTCAGACCACTTTCCTCAGACCACATAACTCTAAGACTCTTGCTTAGTACAGCACATGCCAAGGGTTAGATTCAGCCCTGGTTTACTCCCACATAGAGGCCCAGGGCTCTACAGGGGAAAGCTTGCTGCAGGGTTCGTTCAGGCAACCCAACTCAGCTGTGCCCACCTGCTTTACTGGGGGCTTAGGGCAACCGTGAAGCCCAAAGAAGAGGCGGTGCAGGCTGGCAAAGGGGGCACAACCAGGATATATGGGGAGGAGTCAATTCAGGTGTAATTTATACTTCCCTTTGCGGGGTGGTTCTATGCATTGTTATTTTAAGACATGTGAATTGCCCAGAGGGGGCACTGCTTCCCCAGAGTACAACAGCCCTGCCTCCAATTAGCCCTTCCTGCCCCCCGCCACCACCTCACTCCTGCTGCCCCTTTCCACATAACCCTCCACTCCTGGTCTGTCACCCCTCCACACTCCCTTCCTGTGCACCAGCTCCCAACTGCCCTCTCACCCAACGGAGATAGAGGCAGAGACTAACTAACATGAGTATGAGGGAGGGGAACATTCACGTTTCCTCCCCTCTGAGGCTCAGGGAAAGGTGGAAGGGCAATGAGGAAATTCTGTCCCTCAGAACAGGTAGGAGCAAGGGAGCAGGGGGACAGGTTAGGCTGCTGGTGCAGCAGGCACTCTGTACCAGCAACCTCTGTCCCCTAGCACAGGTGCTGCCTCCCAGTTGGCTTCTTCCAGCCTCTATGAGGGGCTCAAGCCCCATCACAGGTCCTGGAGGCACCACACATGGACATTCAGCCTGTACATCCACAGAGCCAGCTCTGTCCTTGTGAATCAAGCCCAGTTCTTGTATTTTAATTATAATGCCCCCATGGATGTGGGATATGGTTTCTCTCAGATGCCGACCCTGTAAGGTGCTGAGGGCAGCGGGGGTGGAAGACCCTCAGCACCTCAGAGGAGCAGCCTTAAGGGAGCTCCCTCCTTCCCCCCCCCCCCCCCCCCACGCACATTATTTGCTCTGTTTGGCAGTCTGGTCACAAGTCCCTCAGGGACTGAACAGCAGAAGTCTGGCACAGGGACAACGTAGAACACAGTAGGAAAATTACCCAGTGCCTGCATCCAACTGCTCCTAGTTCTGGCCAATGCCATTTAGAACTTTGTTTTCATGAGTGCCGCATTCACCATCAAATTTTAAAGCCAATTTTATTCCCTTATGTATTTAACCTGACGAGCCATAGACATTCCTCGCTCCTTTCAGCTTCCTAGCGACCTGCACTGCACGGCTTCGTTTTGCTGCGTGTAAAGGTAGCATTTCCTTGCTCTCTGAGTAACTGACGACCAATTTTGTGTCTGTTTTACAGAGAAACACTCAGCCCTCTTGATACATTAATCCCTTCAGGAGAGTGAAAAGCATGGGGCTAAGTCCACAGGGCAAAGTTAATCCTGAAAATGGGATGAGACTGCATTTACCTTCCTTTGCTTGTCACTAGTTTACAAAGTCACATTCTTCTCCATTACACAGCCCAGAGGGGAGCAAAGGAGCAGGAACTAGGACATAAAGTGTTTTAAACCCACGGGAAGTGAGAGCAGAGCCAGTTCCTGCCCTTCCGCCAAGCAAGTGGAGGCCCTTCTATGCCTCCACCACACAGAGGAGGCTCAGGGGAGGCTCTTCTCAGGGCCCTGTGGACAGGAGTGAAATTTTGTGCTGCCAAGAGCATTAACCCCGCTGTTAAGCTGCTAACAGTGATATTTACTCCCAGAGAGATCGTCCATGTTTCCTACTGCATGGCTGCAGTAGGGAGGGAGACTCCAATGGCAGCATGGCTCCCTCAGGAGAGAAGCTGGGTCCCAGAGAGGCTCAAGCCTTCTGCAGGGTTAGGAACAGTTACCATACCAGTACCTGGGCCCACAGACTTTCTCGGGAGTATCAGGCGGAGATGCTCCAAGGTGAATGCTGCTCCATTTCCTGGGCTCTCTGTCCCTCTCCCTGGGTTTTATGCCAGTACAATACTAAGGGTACCACGTGGCCCTTCATCTTCAGTGACTTCTGGTTGGGGAACCCAAGTGCTAGTTCAAGGCCAGATTATGCTTTCACTCGCAACTGTGAACATCCAGAATAACTACAATGCCTTGAGCATGTGAATCCAGAATCACTGAAAGCAACTTGTACTCCTCAGCCTGGGTACTCTCACAACTATACTTGTCTATCCTGTGCCTGCTTCCAGCTGCTCTTGAACTGAAGGTCAGCAGCCCTGAATTTTAGTCTACAACAGCAGAATGCAAGATTGCAGCACCCTAGACATCATTCCAAAGGGAAACTTTGACTGGAGAAAAAAGTTAAACCATTTTTGGTACAAATTTTAATGGGTTCAGGGGGAATGGGGTAAGGGAAGTGGGAAAATACAACAGATTCAAACAGAACAGTCATGAATAGTCAAAAGGGTATGCTGAGGCCACACCTACTTTCAAGTAAATTAGCTGCAGAACACCTGTTCATTTGCTAGTTCCATAAGCAGTTTTAGAAATATGAGTCAGGACAGCAAAACTAACATGAAGGACGTTTAATGAAAATCACCAAATATTTAAAATAAACATTAAAAGGAACACACCACAAGGTTAAATCACAATGTAATTACAATGTACTATGTCATTACAAAAAACAAAAACGTCTCTTGATACCTTTAATTATCCAAACAGAAAAAAAATTCCAACTTCTCACCATTTGTGCTGTTTGTAGGGGGGGGAGGGGGAGATGTTGCATTTCTGTCAGTTTGGAAAATGAACATGAGCCTGTCAATTTCTGGATTACTTGCACTAAAACAATATTGCAATATTCAGGTTCCAAACACTGCCTGGTTTAAATTAAAAATAAAATACTCACATTCACTGATTTTTTAAAAAAGAAGAAAAATGAATATATTTGTATGAGGGTTATTTTTTAAAATATGTTAGGTCTAAATTTGGGGAGTAACCTATTTGGTAGCGTCCCTTTAATGAACCCACTTTACAAACTTAAGAGAGCTCTGGGTGTTGACTGAGCAGAAACAAAAGCACAGGTTCACTCAGCAAAAGTTTTCTTCAAAAGGGGAACAATTATAACCAGAAAACACACACAAGTTAACTCAGCACAGGACAACCTACTCCTGTGACCCTAGGCACGGAGTCTGACCTTCCCAAAGGCTACCCAAGCAGCCACTCTTTGAACTTCCATTGTATAGCCCTTCCTCTGAGGAACCTGAGCTGAGGCTAACCGCTTGTTCCCCAGAGATGGTTGCCATTCCCCACAGTAGTGTATGAATGTTTTGTTTTTTTTTTAATAGAAAGAGAACTGCAATTCAATGGAACTGTCAGAACATACCGTTCGTACGAAATCTCTCTGGATGCTTCTGAATGCAGGAGGGAGTCAACGCAGCATTGCTGACGTAGGATGTCACTGTTGGTCCACATATGTCAACATCCTAGAGAAAATAAAGAACATGTACTTAACGACCATGCCGCTGGGAAATTAACAGCAAGAGTAAAGTTATGCCATGCAAATAGCTCCTGTACAAACAACATGAAGCTATAACCTTTTATAATTGTACATCATAGTTCTCTGCAGACATCCCTCCAGTATGTTAGAAATTCAATACGTGATAGTAGGCGGTAACAAGCACCTTAGGGATTTCAGCTCGTTCCAAGCCATGAGTCATCGTAATCTCTAACTCATGGAAATTTAAATTAAGAAAAAAAAAATATTGCACTGACCACTACCATGTGCTCTCTTTGCATAAAATAATCATAATCCCCCATGCAAGGTTACCAGTTCACGCAGGGTGCTGAATGATGTAAGTGCACAGATATTTAGCATGGATGTTGTCGAAGAAAAAATTCACATAGCAGCAGTCTACTAAACAGCTCCCCTGAGATGAGGCAGGACCCCTTGCTTTAGGAGTGGGAAGGGAGCTGGAACTGCCTTTATAGAAGCTATTCACTTCCACAGGCAGGGGAGGAGTAAGGAAAAATAGCACCTCCCAGTACCACTACAGAGAGATGGTTCTTTTCCCCTAGTGAGAGTTTTCAGTGCCCCATCTCTCTGTAGTGGTACTGGGAGGTGCTATTTTTCCTTACTCCTCCCCTGCTGTATTGCGGCAGAGATGGGGAATTTATATCCGAGACACTGCCCCTTCTACCTCCCTGCCCCAGCCTGTGGTTACTGGTATCCTGGCCCCTCAGGCTGTCTTTCCCAGGAGAGCTGAGAGAGGTCTACAAGGAACATAATAGAACAATTATATCCTAAGTAGCTCATGCAGTTTGCTTAATTATGGCAAGTGGCCTATTACCTTTTTAAAAAGATTCCTTTGGGTGGACTCTCAGCATTGCTTTTAACTACTGTAGATCATTTTTAAGGCACGCTTTTAAAGTGCCTGATCAGTACATCAGGTCACACACACACAACCCTCCCCAGTCCTGCCAATCCTCACTCCACTGGCTTCTTGCCCCTTCCCACATTAGAGTCAAGCTCACTATGTCTCTTCAAAGCCCTTCAAAACCTTGGCCTCACCCACACCTCTGCTCCTGACTCCTTCCTTAATCCCTTTCTCCCAGAGGCAGCCAGCACAGACCCTGACAAAGGCGCCTAGCAGTGGACAGTCCAGAGAGGGGAGGGAAGACAGCAATGACACCTGCACGCATCTGCCTTTGCCAGAAGGCCCACAGCCAGCCAACACCACCTCAGAGGTGGGTGTGGCCGTGAGGTGGTGTAGCCAGGCCTGCCAAGGGAGTGGTGATGCACCAATTCAGTGCATCCACACAGCAGCCCCCTTAACTGGCCTCCTGTTAAAGCTGCCTTACCTCAGCAGAACCTCCAGGGGAGCAGTGGAAACATTATCCCTTTGAGCTTGGGTGGTGCCCAACTGCCCTTTCCGGCACTGGGAGTTGTAACTTGTGCCAGCGCAGGTGATTCTGGCCCCTATCCTGGACTCTAAGCCCCTGCGTTACATAGCAGGAGAAAAAACACTTCATGGCAGTGCAAGCGTTTCCCCAACACACACACTCACAGCAGAGATACATGGGCGCCCCCGCCCCCCAAAAACACCTCCTGTAGATCAAGCATAAAGTAAAACCTATCCTGGCAGGTGATACCTTGGAACACACGCCTACAGAGCAGACTACATACATGCACAGCATCTTGGAGACCGGAACATGGATTACAAGCCAGAAGGCAGGATATACGGAGCCAGGCATGGAATCACTACACTGTGCACTATTTAGCTGACCCTGCCATGGCTAATAGGGTTGATTTATACCTTACCAAAATAGATCTGAATTGCAGTTTACTCTTGTACCTTCATACAAAGCTATTCAACGTGCTTGCGAGGGTCACAGTCACACAGGAGAAAGAGCAAGCAAGAGCAATGTTTCAGGTCCATTAGTCTCAGAGTCCTCACAGACAGCAAACAGCCAGACAGCTTAAAATATATTTAGTCCTCAAATGCTTATTAACGTCATCTGACGATTCACAGCTCAGTTGGTCGCATGGAGTCCAAACACCACTTCTGCTTTCCCAGCAGAGATAAAAACGCTACAACAATTCGACCGCACGTTATTTAACCTATATACAAACCTTTGGTATTGTGACTATTATGAAATTTGACTTAGAAATTAAGCTGCAGGTCTGGCAACATGGCATAGTGGTCAGATAACAGGACCAATAGTCAGGCAGTCCCAAATGCTAACCTTGGTGCCAACAAAGAAACATCTATTGATAGATTTCAGCTTCAGGCTTGCCAGAATCTGATACCAGACAAAAGTCAACAGGAATTACCTCCTGTCCTCATTCGGGAGGCTTGATTTAAATTAAAGTGATTTAAATAAGCAAGCAGGAAACCTTGTGATTTAAATCATTTTAATTTTGTTTTGCATTTGTATATAGTCCAAAAGAAAGGTCTGTTCTGCTTGGCTGTCATGACCATTCAAATATGTTGATTTGCAATGCAAATATAGCCTTTACACTACATGTTGGTACTTCTTTTTGCTAATCAAGTTTACACTGTACCTATACATATTTTATTTAAGGAATTATGTAGCTTAACATACATTTGTTCAGATTCTTAATTTTTACATTTTTATCATGTTAAAAAATGTATCATTCACCGTTTTCTATTTACGTGACTAGATGGTAATTTTTTTACTCATGATTTCTTTCAAACTTGCATTAGGATGAAAATTTTAATTCAATTAAAAATGCACAAAAGCAGCATTTTAAACTAGTTTTTATGAGTTAAATAAAACTACCTTAAATGTGCTAGATACATAAAAATATTTATCAAATTATGCCTTGCATTTTAAACTAACCGAGTTATTAAATAAAGGAAATATCATCTACAGTTAGTAAACTGACTAACTTGTTTCTGGTCACCATGAGTCAGATTTTCAAAAGTGTTCAAGTGCCTGAAGGTGCAGATAGGCTCCTAGTGGAATTTTCAAAAAGTGCCTAAACAGATTAGGTGCCTAACTCCCATGGGAAGCACTTTTTGAAAATCCTATTAGGTGCCTCTCTGCCTAAATACCATTGAAAACCTGGTGCCATGTCCTTCACATTTTTAGAATTAGTAGACCTCATCCTCTCCCACCTGGTTTTTATTCATAGATTGGATGAGAAAAAATGAGCATGCCTGCTTTTTCAACTCCCTATCCGCTTCTCAAGTTTGAATTAACTAGGCCACATAAAGAAAATATTCTTTCTGCCCCTGCTAACTAAAATGAAACCAAAAGAAATTAAGGCAAAAGCTTTTCTACACAATACTTCTTCAAAGTACTTACATTGGAAATTAAATACCGGCTTCCCTCCATTGTAAAGGCTGAAAATAACAGAGATACTTACTGAATACAGTACAGGACATTGTGACATAGCTTGAATTGACCTCAAAAGTTAAAGATTCCCCCACCCCGTTATTCTGTATATAATTTTAAAAAGGAGCACCCTTTCATTCATTAAAATTTGCAGAAGGGTGCTGCAATTTTTTTAAAAAATTAAACAATTAGTAGATTATATTAAGTTTAGGCCTTTACATAGCTTGTCATAATTTCAAATTTAATTTTAAACAGGTTTATTTTTAACAAGATAAATAAATGTATTTAATTTAAAAAAACCCAAGTTCAATATGAAAATGCTTTTTTTCATTTAAAATAACAATCATCGACTTTTATCCACTGCATCTTCATTATAAAGACATACCATGAGTGTGTCTTCTTAAACACATAGATCTAAATTAATTCTTGCTGCAACCATGAAGCCTTTAGTGGAGTTGCATCAGAGAGACATTTGGGCCAAGGTGGCTCACACCAAGAATAAAAAGGAAATGCTAATACATGATAGCATATTTACTGACCACCGATTAGGAGCCTGATCCAGAGAGGTACTGAGCAATCCCAACTCTCTCAGACTTCCATGGGAGTTGGGATTGCTCAGCACCTCTTAAGATTCTCTCTCTCTCTCTCACACACACACTAAAAATTAGGTTCAAAAGCATCATGATACCATGCAGAAGACGATCAAAGCAGCTTTAGTAGACAGATTCATATGTAAATACATTTTGCAGTTAGGATGAGGTGCCACCCAGCAGGTGGTGAGTTGCTCATTTTTAGCACAAATGTTGAAAACGCTGCACTACACTAATAGAACTGGCATTTATCTTTCCATGGAAGCAGACTAATTATAACATTCTTTTGGCTGGCTTCTGAAGGCCTGTCTACTTAACTGATGTGCTGTGCTGCAGTTCTCAGTTGTTCCCCCTAAGAGATATCATAAGTGTCACACACAAGTACTTTTTATTGGGGAATGGGTGGCGTTCCCACCCTGAACAGAACAAATACAACAGGGTATACCAGTGGCTCTCAACCTTTCCAGACTACTGTACCCCTTTCAGGAGTCTGATTTGTCTTGCATACCCCTAAGTTTCACCTCACTTAAAAACTACTTGCTTACAAAATCAGATATAAAAATACAAAAGTGTCACAGCACACTGTTACTGAAAAATTGCTGACTTTCTCATTTTTACCATATAATTATAAAATAAATAGATTGGAATATAAATATTGCACTTACATTTCAGTGTATAGAGCAGTATAAACAAGTCACTGTCTGTATGAAATTTTAGTTTGTACTGACTTTGCTAGTGCATTTTACATAGCCTGTTGTAAAACTAGGCAAATGTCTAGATGAACTAATGTACCCCCGGAAGACCTCTGCATACCCCAGGGTTACACATACCCCTGGTTGAGAGCCACTCGGGTATACCATGGACCAAATATTTATTTGGATTATGGCAGCGCTTACAGTTCCAAGACAAGATCAGGGCCCAACGTAGTACAGACATACAACAAGAGACGCAGTCCCTCCTCAAGGAGCTTACAATCTAAATAGAGAAGACAAAGGGTGAGAGGGGAAATAGAAGCACAAAGAGGGGAAGCGATT